ATTCTATGATTCTATGAAATTCAGTTCTTTGAGTATTTTTCCAAAGCAGCAGTGCAAATGACTGTGGTACCTTTAAGTCATTAAAGCTATTACTGGAAAGAATATTAAATTGCTTTGTGTTAAAATGTACAACTTTCTCAAATTCAGTTCCCTACATTGATGCAACAGCTCACACAAATAGTTTCAGAAATAATGAAAAGGTTATTGGACCATCACCAAATGGCATGCATACAAATTTTTTGTAATGGCAAGGCATGGCTGCAGCATGGATTTTTTTTCTTCCCTCTTCCCTTTCAAGCATGCTTCTGCACAAGTGAGAAACCTGTGAATATTTGGAATTATAACTTTTCCTCTCCTCTCTGTCATTGTCATCTTGCTTCGTTTTGAGGACTGAGAAATTGAAGCTTTTGACTTACGAATGTATTTGTTTGTAGCTGTTGTCTTTGTATGTCACTTTCCAGATAACTTCATGTTGTCTTAATTCAATGACCAAACACTAAAGCTTTCCTTCTGGGACTAGAGAGGAGGGGAGTGGGGAATCCTAGAATCCATGTCCTGTGCTTCCGTTTAAGTTCCTTAGATCTTGTTACGACCTGAGCTATTCAGTCGCTGCTCTTGTGTTGAATTTGGTTGAAGTCAAGCATAAAAGCTTACTTGGGATTAGGTAGGGAGGCAGATCCTCCTGTGATTATGTAAACTTCATTTCTGGGGAGAACTTAGCTAAAAAACTGTGAAAATTCAAAGAATATCTGTATGAAATAACATTACCATTATTACAGATTTGTGCACCCACTCTAAACATGGGAAAATTGGACTTATTTATAAAACCTTAATTTCATTACAATTTAATATTGTGCAGTAGATACTGTAATAGGCTATTTTTCCATAGGGTCACTACCTCGTTCAGTGCATTGTTTGCTTAGGAACTGTTTGATAAATTTAATTTCTTTACAGGGAGTAACCTCTGCCTTTTTATTGCACACTGTTGCAAAGTGCCTTACAGAAAGAATCCTTCACTAGTAAAAGAATATTCTGTGAGGAAATGATCAGTAATTGTTGTTTGGCTATTTGAGGAACAACGATTAATTTACTTTTCATCAGTTCCTGTTAGGTAAAGGAACATGATTGTCTCTACCATATGACCACACAGTTCCAAGGAACAGAATGAATGAATCAAATATCCATATATTTTGCATTCTCTTGTTTTCTGTCTTTTATAGGAGGGTTGGGAGGGAATAGCTTTCTGTCAAATGTTACCAGCTCAAAATATTGCTTTCATAGGTCTCAGCTGAGGTTCCAGTTCTGCAAATCAAACCCTAGAGCATAAAGTCAGGTAGTAGGAAATGAAAAATGTACGGTGAAATGCCTGCTAAGGTTTTTGATTTACACTGAGCAGAAAGTGGCAAAGGCAAAGATAAGGGCTAACTCTCCAGGGTAGTATTCAGTCACTTTGATTATATGATCCTCCTTTTTTTGTATTTTGCAGCTTATACAGGAAGGGCATCTTCATGTGTCCTAGCTCAGTCCCATACAACAAGCAATGCATGGGACTGATGGTGCATAATAAAGTGATTTAAAATTATATTGATGCTGCAAAATACACAGAGCTGCTGAAGTGAGGATTCTGAGTTAGTTCTGTAGTAAGTAAATAGGTAGATTTGTAACATACATGAAAAGTAACATTTAAGGTTTTAACGACCTTAGTGTTTGTTAGGAATACAATTTGAAACAAGTCTCTTTGTTTTCCCTATATCTTATGTGTTGGCTTTCATCACAGAGCCATCTCAATATGTATGTACGAGATTTCTTTATAATGTAATGACGTGGAGTGGGATGTGATCCAATGGCATATCCAATACACTCCCCTGCAAACAAGCCTACTGCATGGCACTGATCAGAGCTAATCTAAGAGGTCTTTCTTGCCTTCTGCTCTCTTCCTTCTTTTTAACCTCCAAAATTATGGGTGTCAGGTTGTCATTACAAAATGTTCTGCAACAATACCTTGGATCATTTTCAAGTGGTTCTGTTATGAGACAAAGGAATTTTGCTTGCTAAATAAAGAACCTAACATTAATGATATGCCTACCTGATATAGAAGATGAGCATGAGGTTACAAAGTTAACATGCACAGATAACTTGAATCATATAATATCCTTACTCATCAGGTCTTGAATTTGTAAACTTCATGTTCTTTTTGTGTGTGTAATTTTATACTATATGCTTCATAGCTGTTTCATTTTGAGCCATCATTAAGATGACTGTAAAAGAGAGTACATATGTCTTTTTACTCATGGTGGTTTTTATTCTGATCCATAATATGTAACTATTGCCTAAAATCTATGTTAAAAGATTTTGGCCTATGATGAAGGACATCAGTCTCTAAAGATTTGAAAAGTCTGATGAAAATAACTGGGGAGGCTAGACCTAAATATAGTTTGAAAGGAAAGGAAATCAATATAAGCTTGTGGAGAGGAATTAATATCATCAAAGCAATTTCTGCATTACTAGTCACTGTTTCTCAAACTCTAATGTATAAATGCCTTAATTTTCCATTAACGTGAAATTTTTTTCCCACCTTTCTCTTGCAGAAATTAGCTTTTCTTAATAGCTGGAACGGCTGAAATACATACCTCCAGCTAAGGAGGAGAGAAACTCTGATTTCTTGATCTGAAAGATTCTAGTTACTGGCTTTTAATCTCTCTGCAATAGTTTGGTTGTTTGAAGGGAATCAAATGCCATTGGGCTAAAATGAAGGAAAAGACTTGGTCATGTTAAGTTGTTAAGGGAATTTTCAGATCTTTCAGAAATAAGTCTTTAGTCAAATTGTCACAAACTTTTGTGGTAGCTTTTCTAAAGTAAATCTGCAGAGCTATTGCAAGTAGCAAAGGTAAATTCAAGGAAACATGTAAGGTCATATTTTGGAACTCTGATCAGAGATATTGTGACTAAAGGTCAAGAACCTTCTGTGTATGGGCAGTAGGACAAGAGTAGTGTCAGAAGGATGGATGGGCCTTTTGTGAATTAGTGGTAGGATGCCAAGAAAGATGGATGTTCAGAAAAAAAAGCCATGTATATATAAACACACACATACATATATGTCTGTATATATATGTTTATATGTAGTATATTCTTGTTGTATTATTTAGTACCTCTTACTGTTTTTGGAGCCTTACTATATATATGTCTCTGTGTGCAAGCACCTGCAAATATTGCATGACCTCAAGATCTGACAGCCAAATGGAGGGGGAAAAAAAGGCAAAGGGACCATGATCTCTTAATTCACAGTCTGATTACAGGTTTGTTGAAGAATTCCATAACGGAAGTTGCCTTTTTAAGATAATGTACCCGAAGTTGTGTGTTCAGCAACTCTGAAAATTGGATTTTTTTATATGTACCTGCATGATTTTATTCAGATAGGTACTTAAGTTTTCCTTAACTTTGGTGTTTATTTCTGTGTTGGTAGGACAATGGTGATATATTAGGAATGGTATGAGGCTCATTTTGAAGCTCCTTGAATTTCATCCAGAATGGAAGATATGTTAGTAAAGCCTGTAGCTTTTACCTATAAGTTGATACATAACAGAGAAAGCAGTTTTGTACACTGATATGCACTTTATAGCTACACATTAAAGGTATGTTTAAAAAAAAAAATAGTTCTATAGTTTTACAGTTTATAGTCCACTGACAGTTTTTCATAGGTTATGTGATTTTTCAGATGGGGTGATAACGACAGCAGGACTCCCACATTATAATAATCCCTCTTTCAGGAAGGAACATCAGTTTACCAGAAAGCAAGTACTCATCTCATGATTAACTACTTTCCCCAATTAGTTTTTTTAGGCTTCAGTTAATTGTGCTATTTAGTGAATACTTTTGATCTATTATTACATCTAGAAAGAATTTTTTTTAAAAAACTCATACTGTCAACTCATTTCTTAAACTTTCTTCAAATCTGTAAAGTAGTATAAATATAGACATTTAAGGTGTATCTACATAACAGTTGAGTTGTTGATCTTGAAGGCTTTTTTCCAACCTAAAAGATTCTGCAATTTTTTTTTTTTTAAAACCAAAACAAAACCCCACAAAAAAACCCACAAAACATTCCTCAGTGCATTTTTGAAGATTTTTAAACTTTTCTTCATGTACCAGAAAGTCTAACAGAGTTTAATCTATCTGAAACAATGTGCTTTCAGTTTGTAGAAGCAAGACAATTCTTATTCTGGAAAAATCTAGGTCTTGCTGTCAGTACATTTTGTACAGTGCTTGAATGGCCCTATTGTCCTCTTGTGCACTCAAAGTAAATGAATTTATCTTTCAAAGTGGACCATTTCTTTCTTCCATGTACCAATTCCCACTTCTGTTTCTGAAGGAGAGAACAAGACTGCACTCCTGAAAGCATATAATTCTGAACCTTGAAAATTAGATTCCAGTGTACCTGTCGCTCACAAAGCCTGGTTTATACCAAGTGTTACACAGTTACTGTAAAGAGTTTGTTTGGACCATTACGGAAATAACTGCACTCTAATGTACCAGTGAAGTTGCTTAATTTCCCACCATCTTCAGTTCTGAAAAGTATATTCCTCACTTCTAATTTGTTACCCTTTCTGACATTCCTCACACTGAAATTCAGTACTGTAAGTTCTTATGCACTAGCTGTATTTAAAACATAATGGTTATTCCCTCTTCAGTGGGATTGTTCGTACAGTGGGTACGAGTGCAGATTTTGGAGCGTTGGTGCTCCAGCTAAAGGTAAAGACTTTCAAATTAATGCATTTCATTTCTAGAGTACTTTTCTTAGTTCTGCATTTTTAAGTTCAGTACAACAAAGTTTGGTGCCTATCTTCAGACATAAACATGAGTGATCTTCAGCCTGCAGGGTGCTTCCATGCGACCTGCTCCCTTTTTGCTCCCAGTAAAGTGGGTGCTGCAAGCTGTTTGAAGGCATAACCAGGAAGAGACTGAAGGGAATATAGGATAGAGATTTTCAAGAAGGAACGCTATGGAATAGGTAGATGAGTGGTTAGGTAACACTTCTTTAATGTTGTGTAACAAAATGTTCAGTTATCAGGCAAAAAACCCCTAACATACATGCACAGAAAGAACTTTTTTTTTCCACAATTAGTGTCTGGAAAATTCATAAAGTAAAATTCTGTGGAGGCCTCAAAGTATTAATTTATTTAAATTCCTTGAGGATGGGGGATGTGGCTGTCAGTGGCTAGTATGATGGCTTTGCTGCAACTATTTGTTCAGGGACTTTCCAAGCTGGAAGTCCTTAAATTGCTGGAAGCATATTTGGGAAGATGAGAATGTACCTTTTCTTACTCACATTCTTTTTATAATAGTTGCCAGTAGCAAGTGCTTGAAGAGACACTACTGTACGGTGAGCTTTTGATCTGGCTCAATATGGTGGTTATTTATTTCACGTGTCTTCATTACCTAGCATTTACCTTCAGTAAATTCTGATCTGGACCTAAGAGTATATTGAACTTCTATTAACCTTGGATTCTGGCAGTCATTCAGCTGTTATTTAATAAACAAAGAATCCATTGCTCTGTTGTTCAGGTACAAGTATATTCCCATTACCTGTTCTTTAAAAATCAGGACATCTTAAGGTCAATTATTTGAAATAATTGTAATCAACAAATGAAACCTGCATCCAGTTTACATCTCAGAAGCACAAAGCATTTAATTATGGAAAATTAAAGTATTCTGGTTTTGGCTTTTTGTTTTGTTTGTTTGGGTTTTTTTTGTTTCCATTTTGCTCACTTGTCTTAAGACACTGCTGCTAATCATAGAATCATAGAAATAAACATTTAGTATTTTTCTCTCCTTGGTCTTTTTGTTCACTTTATTTCCTGCTTCTGTTTTTCTCACTGGTGATGTCTGCCTTTAAGAATGCTTCACTGC